TTTTTTTTCTCTTTTATGTTTTCGCGCAGTTAGACGTGCACCCGTCGAAATTCTTGGGGAACATATTCGCAGCGATGCGATACGAGGGTCATCGGATAATGAAGAAATTGCGAGAGCCGGTTCGGAAAGATCGATGGTCGACGTTGCCGGCTGTCGTCAACGCCTTCTACGACCCGCACAAAAACGACATCGGTAATTCCTATATAGGGAAATACAGAAGCATTAACCATCCCGAAGCATTCGTCAGAATTGTAGTTACTTGTCGCATTTATATTCGAAATGAATACCCCTGACAGGTAAAGCGGGGATTATCGTGTGATTACTCCTGGCTCTTGACCACTTATTATTTTCACGCTTCAGAGTTCATGATTATTGCCGCCTACTTATACCTTCATCGTAAGGATACATACATACGGTGTTTTGTTTTTTACGAATGCATGAAAAATGACTTCGAAGTGCTGTCTCATGTACTAAAGTGCAAATAACTTCCAGCTATTGTGGGTTAAGTTTAAAGCCTGGGAAGGATCTGTGAATTTAATTATTGAATTAAAATTGTGGATAAGTTACCGCCATGATGACCGTTTTCTTCATGAACTATTAAGGTTTTACAACACGAAAGAACTGGAAATAGGTCTGAGGGTTTCAAGTGCAAAAGCTTTTAAGATTCAGAATTCCAACTTTATTTCTATTCTTTCTTCTAATGGACATTTAAAATCCAATTTGAAAATGAAAGGGGTATTGCTTTAATTTAGTCACGTCCGCACCCCATGAAATCTTTTAATTTGATTAACTTTGTTGAAAACGGAATTGAAGAGAACTGAAACGTAAACGTGTTCTGGGCTCTTCGATATTCTCGAAATTGGTGTCCAGGAAAATTTTCCATCTTTTAATTTATGTGTGGAAAGTAATATTTCCGCGTAGACTCTTTAAAAATGATGACTCGAGACACAAAATTTTGATAAATGGATCAAGAAAAACTTTCAAACTTGTCTAAATAAGTTTGAAGGTTACCCCGTGAATTGACCGCAGCTTTTTTTCGTCACTTTTCATTACGTTCGTCCAACCTTTCGGTAAATAAACAAATTCTGCTTGTTCTTATACTTGCCAGATATTGATTCGAAATTTTTGAAGATCCAACAACGTCAAAATAGAAAAATGTCTTCTCATTGATTCACTGGCAAGCGTAAATGTTTGGCTTTGTTGATCATCTCAGCGTATATATGAAGACCCTCTGACCTTTTCTTCTCACCAGAGAAAACTAATTTTTCCGGAATTTTCCGCCTGGAACAAGATCAACACGTTCTGTTTTCCGATATTTCTGACTGCCTCTGGCCATGTGTTGACGTAATTCGATTGACTTGTTTTCTTTGAATAGGTCTCGGTCCAATTTATGGACTCCTATCTCACCTGAACATCTGGCTTTAGACCCTGTAACTCAATTCATGAATCCTTGAAAATCAAGTTGAATATTTTTTAAAATCTACTGTATTGCCGCTGAAATCAGGTCTAGCAGGATCTTATATTTTTGACGCTTTTCTATCTGAAACGACATCAGATCAGGGTAAATTTTTATTCCATGTGAATGGAATACTGTATAAAAATCCATGCCTGTAGCACATCATCGGATGGAAATGTGTCAAAAATTCCAAGTCAATGTATGGATAGCTGCAAAATATTGCTTACCAGCTCTTTTGGTTCACGTAACGAATGAAAAATTCACAAATACATCAAATCATATTTAAAAATGTGATTCAGATTTTTCATTGCTGGAAATACTCTTAAAACGTCAATATATGACTTTTTGTGAAGTTATCATTATACAATTTTGATGTATGGCTTGAGTTCAGTGTGGTTTCTGAAAACATCACCGGGGTTTAATCAATGAATGGGTTGCATCATATTAAGGAAAGTATTTTTTCCAACATAGTCGTCATTAATGCTTTCGCAGCGTCAATCAAACGACACTGAGGCCCTGTAATCCTTGAAATGACAGCATTATTTCAAATTTTTTTTTCAATTCAAAGTTATTCGAGGTCGAATCCGAAGATATGTGAACAATGCTTTATTCAAATCCGACAGTTTTCCCCGCTGGAATATTGCAGCCCAACTTCTACAACCCGGATGCCCCGAACTCCCTCAACTATGGCGGAATCGGGGTCGTGATCGGGCATGAAATAACCCACGGGTTCGACGACAAAGGTGAGAGATTACCCCCTGCCCTGAATTATACTACCGCCGCAAGCGACAGCTCACCAGCAATTCAATCCTCGAGAGACGGTTCTTTTATTACCGGGTGTCGCATAAAAAGTTATTTTTTGCCGAGTAAAAAATCGAAAGAAAAATGTCATTCTCTCGTGCTACGATAAATTTCTACTGCTGATGGCGACGGATTTTAGTTTATTACCTCCTGATAATAACACGCCACGAATAGTTTATGACGCATTCTTGAATCAGAAATTCAAAGAAATTGATTACTGGTTGGGTTATCACAGTGATACTTTAAAAAGTTAGGTTTAGTAGGTCATCAAAACCTTCTGAAACATAATTCTCCGGAAAACCTCTGCAACCAAAATCATTCGCATAAGACCTATTTTACGCCCAAATTTTAGCAAGTTTCGTGTTTTAACTTTTTTCTTGTAAATAAATACGCACTTTGTAAGAGACGAAAGAAAACGGTGAAAAAATAGTAATGAGTATCAGAAAAATTGTGAACTTCGCGTAATTTCTGGATTATGTCAATTCTATGCGAATATTTTCTATAGAATTCCTACAGTTTAATACTGTACTTCTAGTACTAAATTTTACTATACAATAGCATATGATACTATAGTAACTTGCTGTGAAATACAAGGCTTCAAGTTTTAATCAGCAAAGTTTTTCAATGATATGCCTTCCAGACAGTTAGCAAAAATTGTTCATGAACCTCAGCCTTTTATATTCCAGCAAGTTACTACTGTAGTATGATTGAATTAAAATTATGATACTACATTAGTAACTTACTGAAAAATACAAGACATCAAGATTTACCAACAATTTTTGTGAACTTTTCGGTGGAATTAAACTGATGTTCGTTGTTACGTAAGGTAAATGTAATTTTTATATGAATGCAAAAATTCTGCATGGAGAAAGGGAATCGAGGAAGGGGTTCATACCGCGAAATATAGGAACCCTATACGAAATATATTGGGTTAGACATGAGATCTGATCGACACATTGATCCCATTTAAAAAATGTTGTACTATACCGTTCTTATGTACAATGTTTCTCCATGATTTTCTTCTGTCGCGACGAATTATTTGCACAGAACGATGATTTCTTATCTTCTGCTTTTTGGAGCTTATTAAGTCTCTTCAATGACAAATAAATCAATTCAATATAGTAGGCTATAATTTACTCCCTTTTTATTGAGTTGATCTCTATTCGAAAATCATCCATGCCTTGTAATACTGCGCGCGGAAAATTCATTTCCGGAGCGTGTTTCTCCGTTTGCACATCCTTGCAGCATACTGATGAGTTTTCGTCTCATTCACGTCAGGAAGTTCTCTTACACACACACGTAAGACCACTCGCTCCTGTCCCAAGCCCAAACAAAACTAGTCTCGAAGTAACGAAGCCCGTCCTTGAGTCTCTAGCTCCTTCGTTAAAGCAAATAAGTGACGCTTCCAGAGCGTGTAGCTCGAACTAATGTACTGTACCTGTTGACTTATACAGCAAATCTGACATTTTCACTGGGGAATTGTAACAGGAACGTGAGCACATTTCAATACAAATTTGCTTCTTGTCGATGCGAATTATGTCTGTTCTCGATACATGGTCGAAATGAGAACTACAGTATAATGATTTATATTGCTGTTGTCCATATATAGACCTAACAAACATAAGTTCAGGTCTCAATGGCGTTTTTACGGTTCTTATAGGAATGGAATCTTCTCAACGAGTATTCATTCCCAAATTCAAAATGTGTCTTTAACAAGATTCATCACGGATTAAATTTACGAGGGTTGGTTCATAAGTTTTGAGACTTTTTGAAATACTGTACAGTAGATCCAGCTTATAGCTTCAAAAGTTTCTTTTTTCCCCTCGCATAGCCACATCATTTGGCAACACTCCTGTGCTGTTCAACATACTCTCCGCCGATTTCAATGCAATTTTGTGTTCAATAAACTCAATGATCAAAACATAGCGAAATAACGAGTTCAGTTAGTTGACAATATAGACACCCTAGTGACTTCTGGCTGTTCCCGAAAGTGAAGAACGACGTGAAAGAGATTGATTTTGAGTACAGGAACAGCCTCATGTTCGGCGTCAAATAGCAGCTTATTTGAATAACGTGACTCAATTTCCGGCACCGTTTTGATAGTTGGATTTATTGCATGAAAAATGCATTGAAATCGGCGGCGAGTACATGTTGAACAGCATTGAAGTGTTGCCAAGTGATAGGGCTATGCCAGTAAAATAAAATTGAACAGTTGAAACACTGTTGGATCTATTTCAAAAAGCTTCAAAAAATATTAACCATTTCCTTTGTACTGTATTTATCAAGTTGCGAACAGTTGCATGTGCTTGTGTCTCACATTTCCGTGTACCTCGAAAATCCTCTCTTTCTGTAGCGTACATGAGCTATTTCAAATATAAATTTATAATCCTTACGCGAAGAGGATAAGAGATGAATTTCGAGAATTATACATTTGAAAAACGGAGTTCGAGTGAAATCCCGAAAATGCTTTTGTAAATACTGTGTTTTTTTTACCAGAATTCAATGTGGTTAAATGCATGAAAAAGGTTGAAAGCCCTGAATTGAACGATCGATTCATTCAGTATGTTTCGCAGTTTTTCCTTCGCCTCGTTTTCGGGTTTTTTGATTGACCCTGTGTGTAGGAAAGTTCATCCAGCCACTGTAGCCCCAATTTTGGGACGAGGCCCGCACGAAGGCGGAGGGTTGCTTGGGGGACGAAAATCCCAACACCTCCGGGTCTCATGTGGGCCCCAGTCGATACAGTTTCTAGAACCTGGGATCGTCGCTGTCGTCGACGAAGTAGTTCCGGGGGGAGGAGAGGAGGGGGCAGAATTTTCCGATCCCAGCTAAGAGTTAACTTGATGAGTTCTTCCATGACTCCAGGCTGGTCCCTTCTGCCGCAGGCGGGGAAACGCAATTTCTTCCCACCATCGATTTTGCATCTGGAGATCTGAAAAAAAAAACGACGTGTCGTGCTGTTGAGGCAGTGAGAAATATATTTTAAAAGCACGGTGGACACACACATGTGACTCATGTACGGGCCAGACACATGTGCAATCCTTCGGCTGCTTCCTTTTATATATATACTGTATATTGTGCGAGGGTTGCCCCAGTTGGACGCAATCGAATAGGTTCATCTTAGCGTAGGCATGATGGTATAAAAAAAATAATGACATAATCAATGATGTCCTATGGCGGTTCTGAGAATTTTTTTCAGATTAAAAGAAGTGTTTCTATTGACTGCATGATGCTGAATGAAAACTTTCCAGTTACGCCAGATGAGTTCTCTACCCATGCCACAACAATCACGAGGCGCTAAAAATGTTTCAGACCAGCTAAAAAAAATTGAATTTGTTTTTTTGTTCTACCTATTATCCTTTCTAAATTTAAAAAAAATCGGTACAACGAAACAATTTATATTAATAGCTGGTCTGACAAATTTTAGCTCCCTAGTGTGAAACGGGTGGAGAAATCTGGCTGTTATGGGAAATTTTTCACTCATATAATGCAGTAAATTTAAAAACTTTTTTTTTAATCCGGAAAATTTTCGAAAAACTTCAGAACATCATGAGTAGTGTCATGTTTTTTTTCTTTACAATCACACTGACTGAATATATCAGAGGTCGCGTCCAACTGGGACAACCCTCGGATATACCACGTATGTTTTTTTGATGCATGATCATCCGTCCATCTCTCCGAGGATGTTCACACGAGCCGTAAAAAGGCTCCTGCAGAAACGAGTAAACAAAGAGAAAATCATTTGCATAAGCGCATTAAATTCTGAATATTTTATCTACTCACTATTTACTTGAACTCTTCTGTCAAGCACACGTGCGGAACGCAGGGTGGACCCGAAAATGTTGGACAATATTTAATATGAATACATTTTTTTTTGGAATACGATTGGTCACAATTAATGAAAAAAAAATCAAAGCTCATCACTGAATCATCTTCTCATATGAAATCATAGTTTGTGACCACGAAAGGATTTTTTGGCAGATCAATGAAAGTGTTAAGCATTGCCGCAGCGAGACGATACTGTACAATAATTTGATGAGGAAAAGGAACATAGATGCTAACAGGATTCCTTCACTTGCAATTTTTTCTACAGATGATTAGGTAACGTTGAAATGATAATTATGGTCACATTTATGTAGTGAATAAACTTTCTTGTTGTCTGTGCGATTTCAGTCATTTCGAAGATCGAAGAGGACCTGCAGTTATTTGAACTATTCAGAATTTTTGTTGGCTTGTAGGTAAATTGAGTTTATTTCATGAAATCTTGGCACTCCTTGCAGAAGACTCGTAATGCTTGTACCCTTTATAAATTGTGATCTGAAAAAAAAATGACAAGCTCATTCATACCCTCCGATAATACATTTCAAGTTCCCTTGCAATAAATCGTACATGACGAAGTTTCGCTGATTATGCCCATCATATATAAGTCATCGGACAATTCCTGCTCTTCTAGTCAAATAATAATTGGCAAGAATATTTTCGGGAAAGTTAGTCCAAATTTAATAATATTATACAGCATATGTTGTACTGCATGCATAAATCGAAAACTCGCCGTCGTAAAATTATTGCTGTAGTACTCAGATTCAAGCACGCACTTTGTTGCCAACAATACCCTCCTGCTTGGTTGAAAGAAAAGACTGTACGAGGCAAGCGTAATTCTAGGGAAGCTATAAAAAGATTTAACGCCCGGTTTTTTTTTTTTTTTTTTTTTTTTTTTTTTTTTTTTACGGAGAAGGAACAATTTTACATAATCCTAGGCAACCGGTTTTTGGCAATCCATTCTTAGCTCCTCCAGCGCGTGCCGAGATGACAGGTTCATCCTGCTTTATCCCGCGAATCCCTTTTTTCAATCAATCCGAAAAGAAAAGCTCCACTTGTTCGAATATTTCAAGTAAACCCCATTCTATAGCGGGTTAGTGTGGATCCGACGAAGAATGAATAAACCGAATCATAGAAAGCGGAAAAAGTTGAGGGCGGAATCAGAACCGAGAAGTTTTCTACAAGTACGCTTCAGAACTTCGGACAAGGTATTTTTGCTGGCATTTCCGTTAAAAAAAATTTCCTGAGATAAATTATTTTCTATAATGGTTAATTGAGAAAACCGAAGAGTTGCGATGTAATTGATGACGCATAATTTTTTTTAATGAAAAGTTTGAAACTAGCTGTAGGCTAGAGTAGCTAAAACACTTCCAAAAACTGGAAGTTACCGCTTTCGAAAAAATTTGAAAATTTGAAATTTTTGGGTTTGAAAAAGCAGCTGATCGCACGGAGTGTCGTGCGTATTATTCAAAAAATTTAGCTCTGTAGGCCTTAAATCTCAAACGGCGTCATTGACCAGGTTTCCGTGGAATTATTTAATTGCGTCGTAAATTTCGGAATAGCTTTTTTTATTGCTTGCTTTTCCTACAAAGGCGTTTCACTGCGGTCCTGTTTTCCGAAAATCCTATTTTCAAAGAAAAGAAGAGACGAGAAGGGGAGCTTGTTATTTCACCATGTATCCAAGAATTGCTCATGTTTCCTCCGAAATAAAATTGCTATAATATTTTCAGAATATAATTACATCTGATAGTTACTTCCGTGGAAAATTGAATTATTCTGTTGATCTAAATTATTTATAAAATCATCACAAGAAAGCAAGACAGACAGATATTCGTTTAAAATTCCTCCAAAGATGCCGCAATCAACTCTGACATCGATTTATGAACATCCAATCATTAAATTTGACGCACCGAATAAATTTCATAATTCATGCATAGAAGTTTGGAATACCAGGCGCAGCATTTTCTTGCATAAAATATTCGTTTCTCGACTGAAATACATTTTTTGAAGTTTTGACTTCATGTGGCAGTTTGGCAGGGTTGAAAATCGATCAAATAATCCTCCTCAGTAAAAGCGTGGCATTTTTCACAGAAGTCGAGGGAACAACTTACAGCCAGCCTTTTAGAAATGCCTGTCGGTTGTTACTGCACAAGTGCATCGGCACGTGACTGGTCTGTTATTGCGTCAAGAAGGATTTATTGGCATGCAATTTTACGTGCTGGGAAGCTCAAATTTCCCTCGAGCGCCAAATGACGGAGCGCTCGGAAATGGCGGACAAATTTATGACCTGATTAGAGCAGCGAACATCTATTCTGAAGGATCAGCTATCCGAAATTAGGGAAATTCTATATAATGATGATGAGAGGTCTTATTTGATCAATTTTTGAACATTTTCTGCAATCACTAAAAAAAATTACCGTATTTTCTGGCTTATTCCCGAAATTGTTGAGCAAAAAGGTCAACTCCGACTCGTTTTTGCGTATGATTCAGAAGATGTAAAATGCGGGGGAAATATAAGGACAACTTTTTTTCACAGAAATGGTGTCGAGGAGTTCTTTGTACTTCATCGGGGTTTCAGTTTCATGTTTCCAGCATTGGATGTAATTTTGAACAGCTCATTGTAATTTTCAGATCAAAATTTATTTCTTACCCCTTTTTATTTTTTAATCTTCGGCTTTCCTGCAGCCAGTGTACAGTTTTTTTTTTCTGGAGTGCCTCGAAATCAGGGCGTGGCCCATGAAATTTAAATTATTACCGTACCTTAATGCATTTTCGTATTCGGTGGCTTACAGTCAACAATTCTCGAGATGAAAGACAATGAAATCCGATTCAAAATCTAAAATTTGCAGCAGTGACTTGAAAACGAGGCTAATGCCCGATATTGTGTAATACAGATTTCAGAAGATATCGAATTCAGGGATATTATAAGTACGAGTACTTCACGATTTTTTTTTCAGCATAGGAAAGCCACCGAGGAATTCTCCGCACTTCCCCGGGGGTTTAGTTTCCTCTTTCCAAAAATTGCATGCATTTTTAGTGACCCACAATCATAATTATTTTCAGGCCACTTATTTTTTTTTCATTCTTCGGCGCTCCTGCGTCCTATTAGCCGATTTTTTTGTGTTTGAAATTACTGATCAAAATCTGGGCGTGGCCTATGATAATCGAGTGATACACAACATTTCCACTTACTTTTTTGAACAATTCTGTGATAGGTCGGCAGTATGACAAGGACGGCAATATGAAAGAATGGTGGAATGATGAGACTATTCGAGCTTTCCGTCGACGAGCCCTGTGCTTCGTAGACACTTACTCAACGTACAACGTGCCGTTGGTCAACATGACGATCAATGGGATGATGACCCAAGGCGAGAACATCGCTGACAACGGCGGTCTCAAGCAAGCTTTTCGCGTGAGCATTCATTTTAATCGAGCTTACTTTTCATTTTTTCAATGACTAATTCTGCGATTTTTTTTCTCGGTATTTTTGTGAGGATTTTTTTTTGAGGATATATTGGTTTTTTTTTTTACTGAAAATGCTTATGAATTGGCCAGGCAATTTTCTCAAGGAAAAAGTATTTTTTCATCGTAGAATTATTTTGAACTTTCACATCTAAGCAGATTGGTCCTTAATTATTATTATTTTTTACTTCCAGTGTCAAGAAAATAATGGCCAAAAGGTCACAGAAAACTCGTGTTAGAGGTTTCGGAGGGCAATTCTTCGAGTTAGAGAGGTTTTAAATGTTTCTAAGGCAATTCAGACTTTCAAAAATTTCTGTCCATGGGGAGTTTGGAGTACAGAATTAAACACACACGAAAAAAAACAAGGTAAAATATAATTATCCATGAAATTACTGGCTGTAGTGGATTTCTTGCCTTTGTTTACCACAACTACAGGCTTACAACAAGTGGGTGCGGAGAAATGGTCCAGAACCAGCATTGCCAGGATTGCAGCACCTGACACACGAGCAGCTGTTCTTCCTCAACTTCGCTCAAATCTGGTGCGGGTCCATGACGCCAGAGGACGCCATCTCCAAGATCCGATCCGCTGTCCATTCGCCCGCCCCGATTCGCGTCCTGGGTCCACTGTCCAACTCCTACGACTTTGCGGCCGCCTACAGTTGTAGACGTGGCAGTCGAATGAATCCTCCTGCAAAGTGTTCTGTATGGTAAAAATAAATAAATAAAATGAAATAAAAAAAATAAAATACAGTAAATGAATCTATACGCGCCAAACGTGTTGAAGACCAATACCCACCCTTCGTTGTTCGAGAAGGAGAAAAAAACGTGAACTTTGATAAATGAGTCCTTGGGGTTTTCTATATATTTGCGGCGCTTATATAGACCAAGTTGTTTTTCATTAATGTACGGTATTCATGATCGTTTTTGCGGGATATGTGATCAGAGGTGAAGCGTGCTAAGTCACAAGGAGCGAAATCCCCGTATTTTTCTGGTGCTCGAATTTAATGTGTGCTATGTAAGAAGAACCAAGATACTTTCCGGTAGAATATGGAGCGAAAAAAAAACATGAACCAATTTAGCAAGTCTGTGCTTGAAAAGTTTGTTTTTGTGTATGCTTGTTGATGCTGTACCGTTTTTTGTCGACGACCGATGAGTGCTGGAGGGCAAGTGGGTTTTTTTTTTCAAGATTTATCTTTCTGACTTCCGTGTCTTCAAATCATGATTCATTTAATCGTTTATTTTTATTTTTTTTACAAATCAAGGATGAAGTTACAGGTGTGAACTTTCTCAGCAGCAACTGTATGTCTCTTATGAAGCGAATGTTTTGATTCTGCGATGTTTTTTATTCTTTTTTATGATCTCAGCAAGTCGAAGGGTTTCTCCATTACATGACAATTGCAGGTAATTTTACTGGACGGATGTTATAACATTTTCGTGAATCAAGAAAAAAGTATCCTCACTATTGAACGTGGGTGGAAATGCTGAATTTCTTCTTTTGGGAGACATTTCGCGCAAAATGCGCATTATTTTCCTCATGGAGTTTTTCTTCCTGAGGAATATAATATATAATCGTGACAGTGAATGTTGGTTGATAATTAAGATATTCATTGTTTATGCTGAAGCTTTGCATTTGTGAAATTTTCAGTAAACATTAAAAATGATTCAAGGTTTCTGGTTTCACTCTTGTTCCTCTTTAGCTTTATTTTTATAGGGCTGTGTTTCTTCTATTGGGCCTCAGAAATTTATCCGAGACCCACCTGGCATTTTTTGGCAAAGCTGATAGAAATTGACTAAAAATCCTCAAGCCTGACTTTTGTATCCTTATGTGAATTATTTTTATTTAAATCCAATTATTGTATGGATGTTATTTCTCTATATGAATATTTTGCAAGGTGCAGCATGGTTGCCAACCCGTATTCCAGCCACAAATACCAAATTCAAAAAATTCCAAACTTTGAATGTAATGACAAAAATTAATGCAATCAAGGAACCGTGTCTGAACAAAAAATATGAACCTTGTTTCCAGATGAGTTGCATGCCTGCCCAACATCATCACCTCAGATGTTGCCAAAAACGCATGACTGTTGACACAATTGCGCCTTGCATCCACACCTACTCTGAAACACCAAGATCACTTTATTGAGTACAGAATCATAAATAAGAAACAGTTCCCTGCTATTTCATTTTTTGGCATATGGACCAAGGCTCCCCTATTCCTTTCAAGCAGCAAGATTGGCAGTCCGCAAAAGCCATGTGCCACAGCAGCACCTTCACTATCTGTAAAAATAAAAATAAACTGCAGATTCTACCCACATTTTTTCCTGATTCCAACCTGCAGTTCTTGAGGACAAAATGTTGACAAAGAGTGTGAAAAAGCATTCACAAACTTTTTTTTATTGTGTCTTGAAGTCTGGCCCTCAGAAGTCTTGAAAATATTCTGCAGTTTCAATATTCCAGATTTTGTAGTCTGGCATGCCTTAAGAACCTCGTAAAATTTGAGAAAGCTCATTGTAATTTTGCAATGGAGGAAAATTTCGACTGGTTGTTTGAAAATGTCATGGCCAGAAATATCTCATCTTACTGTTTTCCTACATACTGTATGAACACTTTGAATTCACAATAGCCGAATTATGTTTTCTCCTTTTAAGAATTGCGGTAGAGTTTCCCCAGAACATCTAATTTCAGCATATCCCGAAAAGAAAACTAGAACATGTATAGTGCTGTTCATTTTACTGAGTTGAAGCAAAAGATAAAATTTTCGCGGAGTAGAATAATGATCACTGCGGCATACAATCATATATTTTACTCTGCATCAAGTGTATAGGAAGTTAGGAACTAACTTGGTTGGTTCCTTGAACCAGAAAATGCAAGCATCTGTTTGAAATTTCCCCCAGGGCGGAGGGAAGAGGAAGCAAATTGTCAAGTTTTCTTTTTATTTGTGCCAAAATACTGTAGAGTGCAGACGTTGGATGGATCTTATTGAGTCTTGACAACCTTGATGAGCAACGGTGCGAATTGTGCCCCACATCACTTGCTGAAATTGTGGGTATTTGAACTATAAAATATATTGACGTGATGATTGAGATAACCAAATTGAGTACTGTACGTCAATTACAAAATTGTTCTGTGTTGTAGTGCTTGAATCGCAATCGCGACAGATCAAAAAATATCCAACGAAAAAAAGAAACTGCAAGTACAGGTGATGTGCGTAAAAGTGTTGTGTGCGACATCTATGACCAACTGCCGGAAACGTGACATATGCGGCTTTTTTGTTGAGACGAAAGCGACGGGTGAGAAAAGTTCGGTCTGGAAATTCCACAGCTCACTAGCTCAGGTTCCATTTGAAACGAGTTTCCTCACGAGTTGTGGTGTAGTATATTGAATTTTGAAACTCCAATAAAAAGAATTGTTTTTTTTACATTTCACTTAAGTGAAGGAGCTGAGGTTCACGTGCTGTACATGTACTAAGTTTTTGTATTAGATGCAGCCAAAAGATATAAGCAGCGCCAGTCCGTATGTGTGGCTTGCTGGAGACACCACTGAAAGACCTCCATGGTTATCATTTCAGCATGCATATATTGAATATATATTGTCTAACAAACTTTTTGCAGTTGGCTAATTACTGATTTGATTCCTGGATATTGTGATGGATGATTCGACCATGCTTTTCTTATGCGATTATGGACAAGGAATGGATTGAGAAAACCGCATCTTGAAAAAAGCAAGTGATTAATTCAATACATGTTCAACTTGGGAGTGTAAAATATTTGTAAATTTTCCATTGTCTTGATATAAAAAGACTGCTTCCTAAGTAATCCCAGTCTATAGAATTGCATGGCATTTGATTATTTATATCCACCTAGAAACACTATTTCGGAACAATACCCTTCGAATTGTTTTTCTTTTACAATGGCTCTAATGCCTGTTTCACAGCCAATGTTTTCAATTAACAATTACTGCATGCATGATTAAAAATGTTTGGCACATGTTGGTTACCCAAAATGGGCAATCTGAGTGCCCCAATTTTCTAATTTTTTTGCCTCTAACAAATAATACAAATGCCTTTAAAATTCAAGGGGGGTGATTGAGGTTTTCAGAAGAGTATGAGTTGAAAAATTTCAATTTACTCATTTCAGTCAAAAACAAAAAAACATTAAAACTGAATTATTCTGAAGTTCAGTCTACTAAAGTTTAAAATATGTTACTCCTGTTCAGGCAAATAGTTTTTATCTGCAATTACAGTTTGTGCAAATCCGTTTGAAATTATGTAATTATCGTATTTTTTACAGACCCTGCTTATATTCTCTATTATTCTTGCTGAAAGCCCATCAAAAGCTCCCAGCAACATTCCAGGCACAAATACATGTTGAAATCATTATCATAACTGAAAAGAAGTAATATCACAAACATGAGTGGAGTATTTCCTCCAGCCAAATTTTTACTGGTTTCACCACTTTGTTCATAACAAGCTTACACAGTCAATGAAATTATTAAAATTGGGAAATGTCGTCGTACTAAAAACAGCGTCTTCAGTACTTTTCCAGTGCTCTGAGATCTTTTAGCCCAGGTTTGGCAAAAGGTTCGCATCATGCGTGCAAAAACAAAGCTGAGGAATACAAATGAAGAACAAAACGACGTGACTTTTCTTCATTCGAACTCATTTCCAGTTTGGTTGAGCCGAAAGCTACTGTGTGCTAGGTGAATATACGTTGTAACATATAAAGGATCTGAAGAATCGTTTTTCTCGTTGAAAAAAAATTTGCTATTGAGTCTCATTAAAATTATGGCTATTCCACCAGCAGTTATTGCTATCCTTAGCAAGAGAAAAAAGATTTTAAAATTAAACTTATATTTAAACCCGAACAGATTACCTAGTTATAAACAATATAGCGGTGACTGATGTTCTGCGTGCAGTGCAATTTTGAAATTACTTTTCGTGTGACATTTCGAAACGAGACAGTTTCTTTACGTGATATCCCATCGTTGAAAGATATTGTCTGGAGGTCTTTCTTAAATAGGTCTATTTTTCAACCAGAGATTTTGATGAATGGTAAAAATTAAAAAAATAACTAGCAATGCCTGCATTATTTATACTTGCTGCAATGGGTCGCCTGAAACATTTTTGCAAAAATAATCGTCTAATCCGAAGGCATGGGTTATTTTTCAAATCAAGGGTAACGTGACTCTGTAACGTTCTTTAAATTTTTGTTTTACAACGGAGAAAACAACGACACTCCTTACTTCGCTTTTGCTCTAAAGGAAAGTAAAAAGAGTAAGTCTAGTGGATGCGGTTACTTTAGTGAGGATGGGAGATTTGATTTAAATTTTGGCCGACCAGAAATGATGCAGGCATTTTTGCCGATGATCTCGTCATGTTGCATATTTTAGCGCATTCCGGAGTAGTATACAGTGAAATGTCCGGAAAAGATTTTGATTGGCAAGGAAACGAAGTAATCAAAACATTAATAACAAACTACTGTACATCTGTGAATTTACTTCTGGAGTGCTGGAATAGTACATTTATTTAAGTGATGGTAAATCAAACCATTAATAAAACCGAACTGTGATGATTGTGTTGTTTTTTCTTCCTATTGGAAAATCGTCGAACCGGGTTTTTGCACTGATTTTGCGCCGAAAAGCTCATCACAATATGGCAGCTGCAGGGCTTGTGATGGAGAAAAACAGATGGCGTGTCCCACCGGACAACACCGTTCAAATCATCGACCCCAAGAACAAAAAAGTAAAGGTAATTTTCGATTTTCACACCGATATACGTATATAGTAACACCTCATTACTGTAGTTTGTCGTCCTGTAGTTTAATTCACAGAGGTCACAAACCATTCATGACACAAATATTTTCCAACGCTGAACCCAAATGTGCTGTGTTAGCTTTATTCTCGATTGCTGCATTATTTTTGTTGGAATACTTCGGAAATGCCCCTTTCAACGATTTCCTATGATTGATTTTCCCCGTCAGTTGCTTGGCTTCCTTTGCGAGGTTTCCGTTTTCTTCTGTGTGCTGTTGGGTGAAAAAGAAGTTTGCGTGCTGATGAATGTCCTCGTGATGCTGGTGCACTTATTAATAAAGACTTCGAAATTGCATGAATTGGAGGATCGAAAGGTTAAAGTGTTTATTGGATTATAGAGGGATGCTATTTTTGGCATCTTCCCTTCGTCGTAGGGTGTGTTCCTTGGCCCCAAGGGGCGTGTAAACTAATTCTGCCCGCAGATTGTCGCCAGAGCGTGATATTGCTGTTCGCGGGATCTCTTACATAAAGGAGGGGTTGAAAGAGTGTGGGGAAAAAATAACAAACTGTGCAGCATTCCTGTTGTGTATCTGATGGGGACAGTGAGCTTCAATTTTGTTTTCTCGTGGCTAGCTGGTTTAAACAGGGTTTCTGGTAATAAAAACAAATTGCGTAAATCATTTTGCCAAAAAAAATCAAAAACGGGTTGTAGGAACTCGTTCAGAATTCAGTTTGGATATCCTCAGATCGAATCAATGCTGTGAGTTATCCAACATTTTTTTTTTCTTGCATCGAGAACTGAAGAATAAAGGGCTTACATGAAATGTTCCTCGCGTTAGTGGGCAATTTAATTTTATATTCAAAAATTAAATTCAACATTAATTTATGATCCTTAAAGGTGCCAGAATTTGAATCCAAGCCATAATTTTTCTTCGCAACGGAAAATCTGTGTGATTCCTTGGCGTTTTCGGGGGTGAAACTTTTTGGGATTTCAATTCCAGGGGAATTCTCGGTATATGCTCGATAACATTTTCGGTGAAAAGAATTTATGCCCCTGGAACAGATCAAAATTTAGTTCGTTCAAGGTGATCTTAAAAATATGGCTTGTATAGATTAAAATAGCAATTACCCAGATGAGGTCATGTATCACAACCAGAAAAATTATAATATTTCATTTTTTAAAGAACATGAGCTACACGAAACTAAATGAACGCCAATATACTTAAAAAAAAAGATTATTACGGTACTTTCACTCCGAAGTAGCTGACTGTTTTTTTTCCAGTGCGAGGAATCAGATAATGTGCATACGTATTTTCGACTGCTATAATGGGCACAATTTTAAAAGTGGGAGTTAACTAAACAATGACTTCATGAAAAAAAAATCCATGGCCTGATGGGAAAATATAGTCCTTTGAAGGACAAAATAGGGAAGAATCCTCATTCAGTCGCGTATATATCGACGTCCAGTGCGCACTTTTAATGACGTTACTGAGGCCTGTTTGCGACCCGTCGCCTTGGTGAACATTGCTACCCCCGGAAACCCCCCAGACTACGTGTTCCAACTCAGCACATGCTGATGCTCAGTGTGTGAAAACCCCGTCGGTCATTCACACATCTGACAAATCGCAGCTCTAGTCTTTCTTTGCGTGTTATGACAATAGGGAAAACCCGGCGCTTGTGAGCATCAACGGGAAAGTTACCTCAAAATTTGAATAGGAATTTCCTGCGTTCGTCCCCCATCAGTGGTTTTCTGTCGGAAAAGTATGCCTCAAGTCCGGAATCACTTCCTTTCTGTGGTAGTCTCCTATTGAGAGCATATTGGCAATCCTTATTTCAAACGCATCCCCTCCAGTTAATTAGTCAACAGATTTTTTAGATAAAGACGTGATTATTGTGAACAGAATAAATCATTCCAGTCAAAATGTCAGCCCCGGATCGCAAGAATTATTCGAAAGGGACCAAAGTTGTGGAGGAAGAGTGGGATGCTGATGAAAAAATGATGATGAAATTTCTGAAGGTCAGTTATTCAAAGCATAAGTTATTTGAGATGCACCGAATTCGGTTTTTTATGCCCTCCACATCCTCATGGTAGATCCGACCCACGGTGGCCTGGTTCTGTTCGACCTGGGTACCGGGCAAATGTCTCATGTTATGTCCAACCGAACCCTCGTAAGTACGAGGAATAACGTTTATTTCCGAACATATTCAGTTTTTTTTTTACCAGAATTGCTTGCATTTCCCTGATGGGAAAGGCGGTATAGATATTCAAATAACTCGGCAATTCCTTTTTTTTTAGATAAAGATTTGTTTCGTGATTGAATACTGTTCATTCACGTCATGGGCAAGGTATTATATATTGTCAGTGTGGATATTTTCTTATGCTGAAAGGGATAATAACACTGTACTGTATCCGTATAAGGAATTATTTTTAGTTGATTTTAAAAATGTTGAGGCGGTGGCACTTGAAGGTTTCATAATCTCAAGCATGTATAGATCTCAGATATTAACTAACTTGAAAGGTTTTATGCAATAAAAACTTGAAAATTTGTTATCTTTCGCCCAGGATTGAAGAGAATACGAATTACTGTACTGTACTTCTTTTCACAAGGCAATATGTCGTAGGCTTTCGCAGCCAGAAGTATTAAAAGTTTACTCTCAATTTAAGTTAAGCCTTTATAAAAGTCTAAAAACACCGTGTACTTTACGTACGTGAAGAACAAAAGACGTCAGTCGCAGTCTAATTCCCAGGGAAATCCCAGAAATTATTTTTATGTTTCTTTACGTTCCCGCAGGTAACATTGATTTACATTTTCGTAATTGTTCGTTTCAGCGCCAGATTCCAGTTGTCGCTTTTACGATGTCTGCGGATCTCAGCTATGTTTTGCTCAAACATGAAAGTCAATCTGTGAGTTTGAAATTTCATTCGATCCATCGAACGCCAAGAAGTGTTCTACGAAAAGAATACATTTATTGACAGACTGGTGCAGCGCAACAACAGCATCAACTCACTCACGAATACTCCATCTTCAGCGTGAAAGATGAGTACGTGATTTTCAAAATGCATTAATCAAATTGAATAAATAAATTAATTTTATTTAAATCATATTTTTCACATTCCGGGTTTTTCCGCGTGAATTCGTATTTTAATATCGTTGATTTTATTATTTTACAGACGGTTTTATTCCCTCATGAAAGGAACGCCGTTGCAGTACGCCACGTGGAACTCAGCTGGCACTGACATAATTTTCGTTCTCGAAAACGACATACATTTCACACACATTGACGGGGGTTCGTCAGCAGACCAGGCAGTGAGATTGACTTTCACAGGTCAAACCAACACCGTCTACAACGGGATTCCAGATTACCTCTACGCCAGTAATAATCAAATTTTCTTCCCATCGCGAAAGCGGGTGAAGGGATTTTTGAAAAGGTCTCAATTTCCAGAGGAAATCCATTTGACCCCGGAACACGCGTTGATACCATCGCCGAACGGAACCAAAGTAGTTTTCTTGGCCTTCAACGACTCTGAAGTTTTGGAAACGATCTACGTGAGATACGGCGATATTCCTTCAGGAGCAAGTGTTGGCGAAAGTCCGTCTCTGGCCTCGTTTCGGTTCCCCACGGTTTGTTCCAAGCCCTTTCTCGATCTGGTGCTCAAAAACATACGCACTGGCTGGTACTTTTCACACTTTCAGAACACTGGAAGACCAGCGCTATGGCCCGATATAAACATTTTCAGAAGTCTGAGAACTACTGGGTTCCAATGTTTTCAACTAACTCAGAATACTGTACAGTTGAACCTCGAAAACTCAAACTTCCCTTTATCGAACTTCATTGGTCTCGTCCCCTGTCTGAATTCCTTTAGATATAATATGCATTAAAAAGTTCTCTACCTGTTCGAGAATCTCTTCGAGGCATTCCTCCACAACCTTTATGACTCGAATTTTCTGGAGGCATTTTTTCTGTGATTTTTTTGGCACAGCTATAGGAAAAAGAAAAGCGTTAAAAACGTAACTTGATGCATTTTGAAGATAATTGAGAAATTAATTGGGCAAATGAACCCTTGCCTCCAACTTTATCATCCTGTCCACTTATTCAAGAACCACTTGAAGCGGCCCAAAATATCATCAATTAAAATTTCTTGTAATTATTCTTTCGTTCTTCCATTAAAAATGCTTCTTCCGCTATAACTTGAAACTTCCTCAACTCAAATTCGTTGCTGGTCCCTCAAAGTTTAACTTCAAGAGGTTTGCCTGCAGCAGTAATGATTGCAAAAGTGATATCTGGAAATTTCAATTTTCCGAGCATTCCTCTGAACTTACCGTAGCGCTTCTTGCATCTGCATTTATATCGATTTATTAAGCTGGACGATCAGGAAAGATGTTTTCATCACGAATGAATATGTTGGGACTTTACTTATTTGGATTAGCACAATTTTCCATTAACTTTTTTAGACCCAACAAAAAAGGTCGAGCATAAAAATTATCTTCGTGGCGATTCAATATACAAAACAGCCTTCCACCATCCAAAGCAGTAATCGAATGACCTTAGAAACTGTACTTCCCAGTTCATTGTCTTGAAATAACATTAAATAGAGCATACAAATTTAAATTTACGAGAAATGAAATCAAGAGTCAGACGACGAGCTTTCATTCTGCAATTTCCACACTGTTTCTGAACCTCCACCGATTCTTTGTGCATTGTATCCCTTTTCTAATTTGTGCCGAAAATTTAATATTTCCACTTTTCATCAGTTGATATACGTCAGTTTTATCGATTGCTCTTTAAATTTAGTAAGTTAAGAATGTATTGTTTGTTCAGTCTTGTAATTAGTAAGGATCACTGGGTGTTGGTGAATGAATCAAGATATGTTTGGGTTTAGTTCAGTTGAGCCTATTTGAATAAAGCTTTAAAATTTTTGCTTGTTTGTGGTGCGCTGGATCAGTTGAACTTTAGTTAAAATTATCAGTAACTCGAAAATAATAGCGATCATGTGCCGTTATGCTGGCCACACTTTTTCTTGTCGATCACGAATCATAGAGCATTTGTGAATTATAAGTTAATTACGACATCGCCACGATTCGTGAAATAAATATGTTCATAATCTAATACAGTGTTCCCCAACCCGTGGTCCGCGGACCGGCTTCGGTCTGCAGAATTTTTTAGTGGTCCACAAGAACTTTTTTACTGTTCAATGAATTTATCATAAGTAGCAATGAGGGGGCATCACAGTATCTTTATCTGAAATTTTGTCAAGACGATGGCACTGAAAATTCTCTTATGAAAAATCAGTGCTGCTGGCATTTCTCATGATAACACTTCAAACAAGTTTTCTCTGATGAAATAAATCATGTTAATTCCTCATTCTGAGAAACCCTTCTGTAAGCCCCATTCTTATTTTTAAAGACATTTCACTATATAGCCGCTTCATTGGTTCTTAATTTAATTATATGAAAAAGCAGAAGCTTTTTTAATACAATACCTGCCGTAAAGTCTTTCAAGCAAATATTTTTGAGTTGGCAAAAACTTTATCAACCTTTGCCAGTCTGCGGACAATTTTTTGGGAATTTGCTGGTCCGAAAGGTTTTGGAAATTTGCTGGTCTGCGGACCTAAAAACGTTGGGGAACCCTGACTCTAATATCATATTTACTTGAATACAATGCGCAATTCTTTTCCTCAGAATTTAAGGCAGAACAAAATGGTGAGTGTGGCACCTGGATGTAAAATTTGTGAGGAAAACTTTTCAAAAATATTTACCTGCATTGTATGCAGGTAAATAAAAAAAAATCAAGAGGAAATTTGTGGCACATAGTCTTGTTGTTGGGAAATAATTTTTGAAGGGCCGGATGGCAATTTTTAGATCAGTCAAAGATGCAACAGGAAGTAGAGGAAGCAGAAGATATTCCCATAATCGAGGGAGCTGTGGACAGTAAACAGCAGGAAACACAAATGTCAATAGGGAAAAATGGATCCACACAAAAAAAATTCACAATTATTAAATCTCAGCAACAACAAAAAACTGGGGTGCGTATCTTACACGGTGATAGGTTTTCAGGCCAATTTCTTGCAGAAAAATGGGGTCGTCGCGTGGCTTATACCCTGCATGGTACTCAAGTAAATATGGCAGATTTACCCCTTTTTTTGATAGGCAGGAGAAATGAATCCCACTGTGAGCGTGTATGTGGTACAATTACCCACAGCAGACGCAAGTAAAGACTGGAACCTTGTCGACGGTCGTCCTTCGAAAATTACTCAACTCGACGTCAGGTCTGAAATGGACTTTGAAATATCTATGGAATATTTTTATGCATTTTTTTTTCGCTTGAATACAGAGATTTTGGCAATCCGGAAGAGGAGGAGGAGGACTTTTACATCATCCAGGTGGAATGGGTGACTGAAACGGAGCTTCTGATACAAAAAATGAGCCGCACGCAAAAAGTCACCTCATACATATTGTGCACTTTGCCGAGCGAAACTTCTGCGTCGTGTTCTGAGGTCAGTGGCCTTTCAAAGCATGGGAAAATGGACACTATCCACAAAATAAAATTAAAACTAGTATTTATTTGTCATATTATTAAAATTTTAAAATTCAGAAAGCGAAAGCTCTGTGCTAAAATGTAACGCATTGATCGTGAATCCACGAAAATAGTTCAACCTTTCAAAACTTTAATGAGCAATCGAATTTTTGCTCAACGATGAGCATTTGGAGATCAGTGTACAAATTTCATCAATCGCCCCGGGGGAAATTTGGCGAATGTTTGGTTTAGTGCCCGAAAAACCTAAAATCTTCGACAACGCAAACTTGAATTTCTTCATATTACTCAGATTCATATTTTTAGCTTCACTGTAAGGTAAGCTAAAAATGTTGTCCAGTACCTGATTTTGTTTAAATGAACTCAATTCTACCAGTAAACAGGATTCCACGATGATCCTGCGTAAAAATTGACGCTCAAATTTGCACTTGAAAGGTTGCTGTGAAACGAACGTCGGTTCCGTCGATGCCAAGACCGGAAGAACGTCACACGGTGTCGGCGGGAGACGACATATTTGCATTGGCACAAGTGATGGACAGGGATGATGGCGCTTATCAGCACATTGTGCGCAGAAATCGGAAGAACGGAAAAGCAACGCCGATAACTTTCGGCAAAATGGACGTTCGCGAAATTTTGGCTGTAGATTCGGCGGCTGGATACGCGTACGTTATAGAACCTTTGAACTTTTTAAAAGTCCAGTTACTCATGGACAATTGAGAATTGTTTGAAATGTTCGAAGTACGATTTAGTCAGTTGTCTTTGCTGCTTTCATGACATACAAGGTTTACATTGTGAGGGATCTAGAGTTAAACGTCAAAGCGTTTTTTTATGCTATCAAGACGCGCACAGAGTTTGACTGAAATTAATCGAAGGACTTAGAGAAGCCTTTTCCGAACTAAGCTTTTATTTTAAATTGTACTCTTCTGAAAATACCGCGAAAATGTTTTAGAAGACTCTTTTGAAGTTGAACAAAGAACCGTGAAACGGAGACACTTTTCGGAGCACCCTGATGGGGTTTTTATCAATGCTTTAATCTTCCTCTGAGACAAAATGAGAAATATATCTATGACTAGCTCTTGGAATTCGAACCAAAAACCCAAATTTACAGCACAGTGCTTACATTATTAGAATCAAAGTCGTTCAATTCAGTTCTGTTCATCCCCTGCTGGTACCCTTTGAGCGTCTAAAACTGATTTCAACGAATATTGCTCGGAAAGATAAAAATTTAATTTAATTTACTAAAAAGATAGAGAAAAATATTCCACAGACATGTTTTGGTGAGGGGTTGCACTTAAGATATTTTCAATGAATTTAAGGGACATGCGTATAGACAGGAATAAAATCAAATGCGTTCATTTTGAAGGTATTTTCTGGCGTCAACTCGGGATGCCCCGGAGACACAGCATTTATTCCGGGTGCAAAACTTGGAATTCTTCGAAGACCTCGTGGAATGCGTGACGTGTCAACATTCTGACGTGTCCAACTGTTCCTTCGTGTCTGCCAGCTTGACAGCCACGGGGAAATATTTCATCAAACACTGCCTTGGTCCAAGAGCTCCTTATTCCACATCATGTAAGTTTGAGACCTTAAAAAAAATAAACGGCACAAATGCGACACGTCATATAAAGTTACGTCTTTAAAGCAGCGTACAAAAAAAAAAGAAAAGACTAACTAGTCCCCTTGAGCCTCGTTTGTTGGGTGTGTACGTTGAAGTATCGGGCGATGCGTTGGAAAGTTTGATGGAAGAACTGGCTTTGCCGACGAATGCTGTTGAAGCGCACGGTAACTTTAGTTGTGGCCCAACCCTTCGCTCACAGCTCGAAAGAATAGGAGGGTAAGTATTTCTTTTGCTGCTGCAGTTTATGGGATGTGAGTAAAAGCACACTCAAAAGCGAAATTTAATAGCTTGTGAATATTATCAGGCAAGGCTTTAAAAATTGAGTGTGGACTGTGGAATGCCGTAGACCCTATTTCATGCAAGATTTGAAAGTCAATTTCCTTGACCAATTATGTAACTTTAGAAGAGAATTCGCTTCCTAATATTCCTGAGTAAATGTAAATGTAAATGTATATATACTTTAAACGTAAATTAATTGGAATGGAGAAATATGTCATTGGAAATTTTAAATATATTTGTCTTCTAGCAACATCATCCAGTAGAAAATTTAAGATGAATTATGCAACAGGTACACTGGTAAGTGATGGTAACACACTTGTTCCTGTTCTGCGAAAATTTTTAATATGCGGAAGAATAAGGACTTGATTCGTGAAAAATGCAACAGCAGACAGTACTTCTTTTTTGGTGAGCTAGATTGAACACTTCCAAATACGGTACTTACAAATGACAGATGCTCTTCCTTTTGAGCAGGAAAAACATTTCCACCGATTAATTCAAGTTATACTTTCAATTATTTATTGAACCATTTCTTGAATGATTTGAACCATTTGTAGGATGATTTGAACCATTTTTTGAATGCTTTGAATCATTTCTTGAATAATCTGAACCATTTCTTGAGTGATTAGAACCATATCTTGAATGATTTGAACCATTTCTCAAATGATTAGAACCATTTCTTGAATGATTTCAACAATTTCTTGAATGATTTGAACCATTTATTAATTGATCTGAACCAAATATTGAATAACTTGAACCATTCTCGGAATATTGTACCAAATTTAGGCTTAAGTGGTTCTGTTTTTCCAAAGATTTTCTTAGCATCCAGAGGTCGGGATGAAAAAAAAAGATCAATCTGAAGCAATTCAGATGAAGCCAGAAAATGTTGCAAGTCTGGTTGACTTCCGCTTCATATACTGTACAATGGTTTCAATGACGCAAGCAGATTTGAGAAAAATTTTCATGTAGTTTGGAAAATTCTACGGAATGATTCCGTAGAATTTGCTTGTTGAAATAGAACTTGAAATGCCTTAGTTACTGATTTTATTTCAATTCCAACACTTCACTTCGTGCGGTAGCTCGACATCATTGGTGACGCATTTATTTTGGTTCAGGAAATCCGATCCGACGGAAAGGAGTGTGACAACTGCGATGCGCATGGACCTGGCAACGTTTCTTTCGGCCACGAGGGACGTTTTGACAGTCGCCATCGACGCCAGAGGAACAAAAGGTCGCGGGAGAAATTTCCAGGATTCTTTTTTCGGAAACATCGGGAATGCGGACGTTGAAGACATCATTCATGTCGCGACGTAAGCAACATAAATACACAGGAACAACGCACATAATCCTGTTCTCTGTGTGGTGTTAAAATGGGCAGGATTTATTTTCCTGGTGATGAATGTGACTTCCTTTGCAGTCACTTGAGCCGAACTGTGAGCATCATAGACGGTGACAACATGGTTATTTTGGGCCTTGGGTATGGTGGCTATGTGGCAACCATGGCTTTGGCTCGGGCCTCGTCGCCGTTTGCCTGCGGAGCGGCTGTTGCGCCCATCACGACGTTTTCTCTCTACAGTGAGTGACATCTGTCTTCGAAATATGTTTTCTCACTGCAACAAATGTGACAGTGGATCTCTGGAGGAGTCGCCTCAAGTCATGTGGCTGAGGCTGACACAACTTCAATGGAAAGAAGTTGGGATCTCTTCTCAGGACATGCTTTACAGTAGAGTGTACTGGAAAATCGATATTCTATAGCTTCTAATTTAACAATGAGGGACTCAAGAAAGGGAGTTGAAAGAAATACAGAGACAGAAATTAATCGCCCTCACTGTTTAGCTTTTTTGGTCTAATTATGACGTCTGTTTGATTCCTCATGGTTTTCAATGAAATACAATATTTTACTCTAGTCTCATATATTTCAAATGAGTATGACCCAACGATATTTCATGAATGAAATTTACATCACCAGGTTTCCTTAAGGCGAAAATACGAGGAAAGCTTTAGTCTTTCTTCTAAATGAAAAAGCGATTGTGTGTTATTATTCCTTGCATTGAACATATCTGGATGTCTAAAGTACGACCTGTACATAACCAGGTACCACTGCATGGCTTCGTCTGAAAACTTATTGGTTTCCCGTTATCCCAGATTCAGCTTTCTCAGAGCGACACCTGGGCTATCCGCTAGAGAGTAAGGCGAACCAGCGTAGGTATTTAGCAACAGACGTGTCGCTTCAAGTCGAAGGTTTGCGAGAGAAACCCTTCCTGCTCATTCACGGCAGTGCCGATGAAACCGTTCCTCTTCGACATTCCATGCTGCTTTCGGCTGCTTTGACAGACAAGGCGATCCCATTTCGTCAAGTGGTAAAAATGAAACAATTGTCCATTTCGTTGCATATCTGATAAATTATTCTTCAAAGTTGCGATCTCTACAATCTTGGGAGGGATATAATCTGAGAAACTTGCTGTCATGATTCGAAATTAGCTGAGACTTTGAAGTTTGAATCTGCGTAACGTATTATACAGTGTGCAGAAATTCGTACCCGTTGATCATTATAATTTCCTGTTAACAATTATAAATTAAAGCATTCGTATTTAAATTAACTCAACAGGTACGAATTTCCATGTTCATCAGGTGAAAATTACCGAAATCCTGCATATCTTACGTTTGACGCTTCCATTCGTTCTTTCATTTTCTCGAGCATGATGAAAATCATACGAACACTGCAGTTCTAAGTTTATGGGAGATCAGAGATTGATTGTAACTATAAAAAACATCGTGGTGGATTCTAGAAATATAATTTTTTTTCAGGTATATCCAGACCAGCCACACGAGTTGTCAGGAGTCCTTGACCACGCAGATGACTTGCTAGCGGAATTCTTCGACGAATGTTTCCAAGAATGGTCAATCAAAAGAGAAGCCTTGAAAGATGATTAACAAATAGTGGGCTTCCGCTCCTGAGCTACACCTTTCTTTTTTTAATGAAATGGGTCCCATGTTGTATTTTCAAAATCCAGTGATTTTTTTCACGCGGGCACACAATGCCACGTTGTCCCGGTTGTCTTATTTTCAATTGCGCGTTTTTTAGGAAACGTCGAAAAATCTGTTTCGGTCTTTTTATTTACATTATTTTTTTGCAGTTGGCAACTTGATTCGTTTTTGCTGCTGAAAATGTACATAGGGACGTTCTTTTTGGCATGAACTATGTGCCGTCATTGCTGTGAAATGAATTTAGGCTGAAATGCATCGACATGCTGTCGAGAAATGTTGTGTTCGATAGAGATATTTTTCAGTAATTTTCCGTAGATTTAAAAAGGCTGTGTTCTATAAGAATTTAAAATACAGTACGCTAGAATTGCATCTTGGTTCGATTATTAAGCTGGGGAAATATGGCAATCCTGCTGAAACAATTTAAAAGAGCAAAACTATCTCAATAGCGTTCGATAATCATCTTGATTCTTCTCTTCGAAAAGTGTGTACTTTAAGATAATAATAACTTTGATGACTGTAAGATAAGTACAGACTTTCAAGTCTTTAGAAGGAACTCAGCGAGACATAACGACCCAAGCTCTTTACAAACGACGTGGTGATGAAATTCATTTTATTTGGGGTTTATTTTTTACGTTCGAAACGTCAGCTTAAGCTTTAAAAAAAACGACAGAATATCAGTAAAAACTTGTGAAGCGATGAATATACTTGATTTTAGTTTCAAGGACGCTTCTAAAAGAAAGGCATTATGTCAAGATCCCGGAAGTGGCCCTTTTCGCCGTTTTTCATCTTCAAACCCCCAGGCAAGGGCACGTTAGATTGGGAAAGTTATTATGGTAAATTGCTTAAATGTTTGGAATTCCATTTTGATCTTGAAAGAAAATGCTAATTCCCTCCTATATAACTTTACGAACCAACCTCGGAGCCTCTTGAAAAATTGACTACATTTCTTGCATGTGTGTTTGAAAGCGGTGCATACGCAAAATCAGTTTTTATTAGTTGATATTCATAAAATTTCAAAACTACGCTACAATAATGTCGCACTATATAGTAAAACAAAAAGCAGATTAGGTTCAGATTGTCATTGAAATAACGGATCATTTCTAATTTATATGCCTGCGGAAAAGAAGAATCGAAACTCTTCCCCCCGATGATAATATTGAGCAGCATTTGCTCGATTCTTATAATTCTCAATTATTACGTACAGAGGCGAACACTTTACCCATCAAATGCCAACTCACCTGAAAGCTAATACTTTTTTCATATTTGAATATTATTTTCTCAAAGGTACATGCCGTATGAAATCAAAATTTCAAGTTCTTCTGTCAATAACTATTCTTCAACAGGTCGAACGGAACCAAAAATTTTAACTTCAGCAAAAGATTTGTCCACGAAGGACTGATTACTTCGGACCTCAGTGGAATGATTTAATTTCTCAATGCATTGTTACGACAGAACAAAGAACTAGCTGTGGGTTACGTACTTGAATGGAATTAACAATAAAAACAAGGTTAGATTACCATCTTAACAATTAACATGTACAGCGTACAGGGTTTACGAAAAAGTTTATATTCCATTCTTTTCATGCGCAGGAGATCTTTTGTCTCGTCAAGTATACTAATAGTGAATTTTAAAAGAATATCAATTTAATCCTGCCTTCTTCTTTTAAAATCTTCATGTAAAAAATACACAAATCAAGAAGTCCTTCCCATTCGTGAATAATATTTCCATCAGCAGTTTTTACTCTCGAAAAAATTGACGTCCTTAAAAAAAAAAAAAAAGCTAAGGGCCGATGTCTGATTTCCTCGGACCGCATGAGCAATCCGGCAACTAAACAAATTAACCCTGATCGCGATCGCGGAATAAAAAAGGCCAGAGCCAAGTGTGGTTCAGCAGTTGCAAATAAACCGAATCGCCATGACCTCCACGCACACACGAACCATTTCCCGGCGTCTCGTGCATAATGAAACATGCACCACCCAGTGTCGCGATGGCAACCGTGTTCCTCTATGTATTGGAATTAAGGGAAAAAGCACAAAAAATGCAGGAGTGATTTCCATCGTATTGTCGGAAGAGGGTCGGGTCAAGTGAGCGCCAAGGTACACAACTGACCGCTGCGTGGTGGGACAAGTGAACGTCTTTCAACAAAGCGCCAAGACATTTAGCTTCATTTCCAACACGAGGGTTTATTATTTCCTTACTTGAGAGATTCTGCCAATATAAAATTGATCTTAAACGTAGACTCTCTCTATCATGATTTTTTTCTTTCATAAAAAAATAATTTGTACTCTACCCTTTTCCCATAAGGAGTTATCCTGCATGACAAAATTGGGATGCCACGCAAAAATATGTTGTATATAGAAAGAAATTCGGTGTACAAAGAGTCCACATGTAGCACGATTCATTACAAAACATAATTCCACTATTTTCTTTATCAATAATACCAGCAGTAACCCTTTAGTGGCATGGGGGTTCTTTTCCATTGTGCAGTGGTGCCATGAGTTTTTTGCAAACTTGTGTCATTTTTGTTTGACCAAAGGTCACCAAATCATCACTTGAGCAGAGCGGCCCAAGCCATCAAATATTTGGATGAGCAAAGAGAGAAATTGGCATTGTCCAGGTGACCACCCAAGTTAATCCTTGGGAGAGCTTTTTCTTTTTGCTCTCCCAAAACGTTTTTGCACAGATAGGAAAAATATACGAATATTTTTCCAACTTAGGATATATTTGCCAATGTAATTTTTATTCCTAAATTTCTTGTGAGGAATTGCTGCGAAACAATACAGGCAGGGCCGCTGAAGAGATAATAAAATGTTTTTCACATTATGAAAACAGGTAATTATATATTGAACAGTTAATGAGGATCATTGATCTTATCACAACACAGTTGGTTGCCAAAATAACTGGGATCCTGCTAGGTTCAAACCTCAGCACTCCTTTTCTTCTAAATTGTTTGAGGAGTCACTGAAATGGTTATTTTTTCTGTTCCTGTAAAGCAAGCATCAAATAAAAAAGGACGAGAAATTGATTTGTGAAATTCACAAATTTTCAGAGCTAAAATGAAATATTTCTTACGTGCATGAAATACCATCCCAAAATGTTAGGAGACGCCGGAGTTGGGCGGCGCTCAGTTGGGTAATTACCAATTCCAAACGTGGCAACCCGTTCCATTGCTTCGTATTTACTTTTATTTCTGATTTCTACTGGATTGTTATTGTTCCAAGCTGTCCTGCAATCGCTATCGTGACTCTTTTGTTAATGTCAACATTTAAATGGCCGTACATTTTATCTCCAGAGTTCATCTACTCAAAGTTCTGCCGTCTTGGTGACGGCATTTGGGCGTGTAATTACTGCGAAACTGGGGCAGGGTGCAAAAGTCACGCAAGGGGTAATGAAGACCTTGATGCATGCCCAAGTTCGTGACATGATTGTCCTGACAGCGACAAAAAAGAACTACTGTACTCGGATTTTTTTTTTTATTTAGAAGTATTGGAAAATACTGAAAAATAGTGCACGTGCAGCTTTTCAATTTACCAAGGCGCGGAATGAGATTTACTCGTCACCTTTCTGGGATTATTTAAAAATAGTTTCAAAGATTTTCATGGAGCACTTTCAAAATTTTTTGATTTAATACAAGTTTTGTAAAGCTGTCATGGCTGGCTTGGTTGCTCAGCCGTTTTGAAAACAAATACTGTATACAGTAATAATCTTCAATATGCGTCAATGTTAAGCGAAATATATTATAAGACGCAAGAAAATTCATCAATAACTTGAACACGAAATCCCTGAGACATGCTCAAAGACATGTTTTCTTGCGCTAAAAAAAAAGCGTAAGATTTTCTTGACGCAGCCTATTTCGGGACAGTGAAATTAAAATCACTCCAAGTATATCGGTAATTTTAAACAGGAGCATTTGGATTGCATGTTGTTATGATGATCAACAACAACCTTTACAGAATAATAAATACGCGAACAGCGTCGATCAATCCTTGAAAATTTCTTTGAATTATCTCTCATCCAGAATTGAGAAAGAACTAAGTTTGAACTCAAAGATAACGGCCTTATACAGTATTCATACTGTATGTGATATTTCGTATTTGGCATTATTCTTTCCAAAAGTATGGTCGACCCTTTGTATTTTCGGTAGATAAACTGAGGTAAAAAGCAGGTAATAATGCGAGGAATATATGAATTATTCCGGGTAAAAAATACGAGGAGTTCGAGGTTCAACATTGTTGCAAAAATAAACAGCAGTATTAAATTTGTCACACAAAATTAGAGAACCCAAAATCTCAGTAGAATCTTCCTTCATTTCATCTGTGCGAGAATCTTGAAAGACCTTGGTTCTCATGTTTCTTTCTGAGCCTCCAAGACTACTTTCTATTGCCAAAATCCTGTTGCTGTCTTTAGTCCTTAAAGGACAGTTTTCCTGTTTTCCAAATTGGCAAGAAAAACTTCACTTCCATTCAAGCTCTTGTGTGATTCACTCAAAGATTGTACGCGTGAACCATTTTGTTTGTGAAATTGGCTATTTTTCAAAGTACACCAACCTAAAAATAGGGTGAAAATTCACCCCGGTTGCAGCCCAACCAAACTCTGTTGTTTCATTCATCTGACATATTCATGAACCTAACCTTCTTCTCAAACATCAGTATTTGTCAAGAATTTATTCTTGTCGAATATTACCAATATAATGGTAAACGCAATTTTTCCATAACTCCAGTCTTTGTCTGAACGTACAGTAATTGTAACTAAAATTAAAGACTATTTTGTAACTGGGAAAACCCACGTATCGCAGCTGGTACTTGTCCAGCTGTTGGTACTGCTGGAAAGTGATTCATGCGTGAACAGTTGAATACTGCATGTACTGCCATGCGTGTAGAAAAGGAAACAATCCAGGTTGAAAAGCCATTTCTTACAGCATTTATAGTCTGCATCAAAGGCCATCATTCGTCATTACTGAGAAACCCTGCATGAAAAATCGCATCGCTTTCGGAACCCAGGGAAATTATCGTGTCACAGAATCGACCCAATGCCTCGGCCCTGAATTGAATACACAAACCGGCCTTGGCTCTCGGGTGCAAGGGTCAAAGTCTTCGCCAACTTTTCGCGGAAACGGCACGGAATAATGAAGAAAAACAAAAAAAAAGGCATGAAAAGGGAAGAACTATGTTAGAAATAAAATGAAAATTTGTGCCACCGCAGGAAACGGTGTGATGATGGAAGGAAGGAAGGAAGGAAAGGAATAAATTATCGCTTGGAGGTATCCCATATACT